GACTGGCTGGCGTGAGGGGGTGGAGCCTCGCAGGCAAGGCGGTAGCCATCAGAAGCAAGGTGGGTAACAGTACATTGGGTAAAACTGCTCAAGGCAGGCGCAGGTGAGGCCACCCGCTCCAGCGGCATCACCACATGGATGCCCGCGCAGGGTAGTGGAATACGCTCCTCCCCTCCATCCTTCCCACGTCCACAGACAAACCCACCAACTCTTGATGATCACGGGAAAAGGGGGAGGCAGCCCCAGGACCAGGTGCAGAACAAACCCTCTGCTCCCACCTGAATTTTAACCCCCGGGGACCACGGGCACCCTTTGAAAACTGGGTGAAATGGTTCCATTCCTCAAAAGCCAGACGCACGTTCCCACGTGCATTTCACACGCATCGTGCGGTTCTGTTAGCTACACGAGTCTCTACTGTGAATGCTCTCCTGGAGTTGCACTACAGCTTTGAAATACCGAGGCGTTTCTCTAAACGAGCACGATGGTCGGCTGTAACCCTGGGCAGACACCCATGGCTCCAGGTACAGCCTCGTTCACTCAGCCACGCTGCATATGTGGGAGTACACCCACCCATCTCCAAGAAGTACCAATAAATAGCTTCAAAAGCTGCTCAGCAGTTCTAAAAGCACATGAGGAACCGCAGATTATTAAACACCAGGCGCAAAAAAGGTAACTAGAATGGAAGTGAGAACACCCCTATGAAATAAAACTAAGGTACGCCTACTACAGCCCGCACAGAAGGAAGGATCGCTGACAACCACACCAAGATTGCACTTTGGTTGTCAGAGATCTGAGGTCAGGGCTGATTTTTCCCTCATACCATGCACTGGTCTACTCATTCACACAGCGAAAGCACCAGCCAGCAACTCAGCAGGAGACTTTCACCAAGCCTGACACCAGCGTTAACTCAACCTGCTTGCCTTCATGCAAATTAGATTAGAAACCCTCTCCGTACACACTGATACCCGGAGCTGAATTTTGGTTATTATACGCATAAACTAGCTACACCCTTGCTTTGAATGCAGTGCCGGCCAGGCTTCTCCCTGCCCCCTCTCCTCCCAAGTAGTAACACGAAAACCCAGCAGCGTAGCCTATTGAGCGCTTAATTATTTTTCTGTCTCCAAGTATTACAGCAACCAGGGTCTGCTGACTTATCAGCATCTTCCAGGAACTGAATTCTTTTTATAGCCAGCAGTAATTCTCCATACAGAGCATTTCCAGGGTTGGGTCTGAGGAGAAAGAGTTAATGGCAATGGACAACAACGCTGCAGAGTTTTAACCCCTTGCCCTTTTCTACTTTTTATTAATATGCACAGGCACCAGTCCCTGCTCTGGATTAGCAGGGTTTAAGGTTTCAACTTTTTACACCAAAGCTGGTTTTAGTTAGAGAACTGCAAAAGGGAGTCTAAAACTTTAAAAGTTATATGAGGTTTTTAAAAAGCTGCTTGTATAACTTAAAAAAAATCGCCCCAAACTCATATTTTCCATCACATTTTTCTCTAGCCAGAGTCTTTTATGTTAAATTTCAACCTAGAGTGAACTTTCACTGATGAGATGTAAACTCTTGTAAAAACAGGGGATTACACTCCATTTGAAACGCTGACAGACCCTTGAGCAGAGCACGCCAACCCGTGCTACCACAGCACAGAAAGCAGCAAGCCGGAGTGATTTGTGGGGCCATATAATCAATCTGAGGATCAGATAGCATCTCAGTTCTTTTGCTCTTCCATATAAAGATAATATTTGTTAAAACTGCCGTCCTGGGATACAGCAAGGAGGTGACGTCTGTCTGCAGGCTCCGCTTTTATTCTTTCCCTCTCAAAACATGCATGTGTCATGAATCAAGGTACTAGCCACTGCTACGGAACAAGCTGATTTTCCAAATCGCTGAAATTCAAAACCTACTTTCAGTAACTTTGAAGCTAAAGGAAAAATGTGTTTTGTTTTAATAAGCTTTCCTCTTTTTTTTTTTGGTTCCTCAAGGAAAAAAAAAAAGGAAAACCAAAAACAATATTTTTCCTCCTGCATCAACCGTCTCTCTCCCCGTTATGAGATTACTGCCCTGTGCTGTCAGAAGCCAAACACTTCTGTATGCTGTCTGCCATGTCAAAATTCCCCTCAGAAGTCTGTTTGTTGATTTTTAAGTAAACACAATGGCATTTTTGCAACAATAAGGCATATCCAATGGCCAAACCTCTTGCTAAGCGTTTGCCTCGCTGCCTTTGGCAGGGGCCCGACGAGCATCGTGCCAGCGCCCGCGCCCTGGGCAGGGAGCTCCTCTTGCAGCGTCGCTGCCGGCCCTCGCCAC